ACAGTATTTTAGGATATAAATAATAACATGGACCATAGCAGAGCATCCTTATTTTCAGTGCTATTATTCTGAGATCTGCCTGTTTGCCCAGTTAAGGGATTAATTCAGCAAGCTTGAAAGCAAGAGTTAAAAGTTCATTAAGAGTTTTGGCCTCACACTTCTGCTAAAACTGGGATATGAGTGTGCGTGAACGAGTAGTGTTATGATACTTTTGATCCTTGGATGCAACCAAATGTGGAGATCATATGGACATTACAATAGCCTAAGATTGTGTGCATGGTATTCCAAACATCCTTTGCTCCTATAAACCAGTGTATTAAACTTTGGCACAGTCTCTAGTATGACTGGTTATACTAAAGAAATTCTGGGACACAGTTGTTCCCTCTGAGGAGCTAATGTGTGATAATAGCCAGTTTCCAGCTTTCCATTACACTGTAGTGTGACTGAGACCTAATTTAAGTGTGACAGTGTCTGGCAACTTGCCCATGTGACTGTGCATGGCCCAGCATCTTGTTAAACTAGCCTAGTATAGTTAGATCTGCAATATAAACATGCCAGTGTGACACCTGCCAAGGCCACCACCCCACTCTTTTATTCACTTGGTGTCCCTGGGCCATTTTCTGTCTCTTGGCCTCACTTACTACAGGGGTTGCTATGATAATAAAATGGGGAAAGGAAAACCATATGCCCCTCCCCAAGCTCCTTGGAGGAAGGGTGGGTGGATAGACAGATAATATCTGTGTTTTTAATTCTGCAAATGATACCTTTCTGTAGAACAGCATCCTGCTCACAAAAAGCCTTAGTAAATATGGTTTTATTATTATTAGTGGCATGGTCTGTATCCCCCCAGTCTACTTAGCAAAGTTTGAGGCCTTCCTTCAGCTGAAGGATTCTTCCTCTCAACTTAAGTGTCTTTTTCACCAACAAAAGAGGAAGGCTTCTTAGGCTGAAGGAGGGTACCACCTTTTGTGTTAAAGGTGTTTTGACAGATTGACGAGTAGTCTAGCTTTGGAGAGGCTTTGAATCAGGGCTGGGGTCAGCATACCCTGAGGTGGAGCAGCTGCCAGTGCTCAGAGCTCCTGGCAGAGCCCGTTGCCACTGACCCTCCCCAGCTGTGCACCTCCTCTGCCGCATGTCCTTGGGCCCTTGCCTCCTGATTCATTTGCAAGTGCTTCACCACCTGTGCTTGCACTTCCCAGCATTGATGGGAAAGTGCATGCAGGTGGTGCAGAGTGGCAGTCTTCCTGGTGGACACCACAACTCTTACCAGGTAGTCACACCAGCCAGTGCTGTCGGGGAAGGGGTCTGGTGCAGACTGATGTGAGTATGTGTGGTGGGCGGGCTTGTGAGCAGGGGAAGGATGCTCATTTGGGGGGACATGCAGGTGGCTGGTTGGAAAGGAAAGCATGAGGGGGGCTGATGGTTAGCATGGGGAGGCCCCTGGGCACTCTTTGCTCAGGGCCCCCTTGAAACCTGGAATCAGCACTGTTTCTGAGCCTGTGCAGCACAGCCCTTAAGCCGATTGATTTTAGCCAGCCAAAGTCTTCTGATGAAAATTATTCAGGTAATAGATGGCAATAAGCCAGGGACTCACAAGGACTTGTGAGGGGCATCTCATTTCCCCCTCACACTATTGTACCTTCCCCTTCCCTGAAAGTCTCCACAGCCTCCCCCATTTTCCTACTTCCTTCCCACCCACCAGCCAATGAAAGGAGAGAGGAAGCAGAGGCAAGATGGAAACCAACAGAAGAGAAGGGAAGAAAGAATAGGAGAGACCAGTAAATGGGGAGCTTCAAATTAGGTTCCTTTGTCCAAGCTTTCACCCTCTCCTTAGCCTTTCCTTCCTCCCATCTTGTTTTTGGCAAGCCCTCACTTGCTTCTCTTATTCTTAATGTGCTTCACAATAATAGTCACACAATAACACAGTAGAGTACCACAATAATAGTCACAGCTCTCTATAATAGTTACAGTTAGCTTTGAGTCCAGTAGTACCTTGGAGACCAACAAGAGTTTCAGGGTCTAAGCTTTCAAGAGTCAAAGCTTCCTTTGTCAGACATTCAGGCGGGGTAGCTGTGTTGGTCTGAAGCAGCAGAACAAAGTTTGAGTCCAGTGGCTCCTTCGAGACCAACAAAGTTTTGTTCAAGGTATGAGCTTTCATGTGCATGCACACTTCCTCAGATTGTAGCATGCACACAAAAGCTTGTACGTACCTTGACTAACACTTTGTTGGTCTTGAAGGAGCCACAACTTTGTTTTGTCAGACATTGTGATAGTTACAACACCATTTCAGCAAGGATGCTTCCAATTAAGGATAAGTATACATCTAATCCATATCTTATAGATTCACTGCCATTGTCCTTGGGCCATTGATGGCAGTGAATCTATAAGTGAAGCTATAGTGAAGTCATAACATCCTTGAATTTGACAAGAATATAACTTTTGGCATCCTTGGAACTAAGATTTTAACAATTGTGCTTAATTCATCAGTTGCAACAAGCTTTAAAAAATGTCTAATCTGTGACCTGTCAGATCAAGCAGAATTCCTGTTACTTTTGCTTTTCCATTTCAGCTTCTTTTCTAAACTCACAGTGTCTCTCCAGCCTCCTCTAAGCAGAGAGCAAACCTGCCTTCTTTCTGAGTCTCAGAGGTACTTCTACTTGCTTTTAATTCTTTCCTTACGAAAATACCATTTGGCCATGTTGCATATTGTGTCTTTTTTTCTTCTAGAGTCTTTTTTAACATTAACAGTCACTATCTTTTTACATTCTTTCAAAACATGTATACTAAACTAACAGCAAAATTGAAAAAAAAATCCCAAATACTCCCTGAATATACTTGTTCCTAAATCCCTCCCTTCAACGTGCTTAACTGCAACTCCATTTTGCTATTTCTCCCACTCCTGTTTCTTTCTTGATCTGCCAAGTTGTGTATTCTCTTCCATTGTTTGTGATATTTTTAGTTCATATCAGCTTATCAGATGTCCTTTTCTTCTAATGTCTAATTCTTCTACTGTTTCTTTCGTTAGTCCTGTACATGTGGTGTTGCATACAGGACCAAGACATATACAGAGAGGGCAGGCCCAAGAGCCCTCTCTCCCCCTCCTCCCCTGCTTTATATACCGTCATGAATTTGTGCGTACTAAGGCCCTCTCTCCCCGTGATCGAGAGTGCCTCTTTTCTAATGCTCCTGAGTACAGGGACAGAGCCCACGTGGACATGCAGAGGTGCTATGTTGACACTGGGACACTTTCACTGTTCTCTCTCTTCTTGAAAAGCTAGCTGTAGGTTTAAAAAGCCTATATAAACCATGGGAAAGGGATTAGAGGGAAAGGTCAAATCCCTCTCCCAGCAACACCTCCCTGGTCTTCAAATACCTGGCAAGGCTGCTGATTTGTTTTTGTTTTTTACAGAAATGCTAGTTGCAGAAATTTTGCCTGGTGTGCAGTTTGGTCCATTGTTGGGCTGTACTGTTAAGTGCAATTCCATGACAATGCAAAACACCGTATTGGGCATAGAATATACTTTCCTCAGCTTTCATTTTTAAGAATCCCTCCCATTACAGTTGTAATATTCTTGAATACGTGGGCAATGGCAGCTGAAATTCGGAAGCTAGAGTGTGGCTACGTGAGATTCCCGGTGGTACTAGACCCAACAGCTCCTTGCTCTTCACTCTTCTCTATTACTAGTAGATCCAGAATAATTTATGCAGTCAGGCAGCTGTGAAAGTTTGGTAAATTCATACATTTCACCAACCTTCCATGCTATAGAATTTATGTTTGGTATATAATTTATGTTTTAAGTACAAAATGTGCATTTAACCTTGCTTACTAAAGTGTGCTCTTAACCATTCATAGGAGAGTTGAGTGATCTGTTTCCTGCATGTTTCCATGAAAAAACTAAGTAAGAATTTCTGAAGGATATATTTGGAGTAGGGGGAAATGAGAGTAATTGCAGGACTAGCACAAGCCCAATGAGTGCTTTCCCATTCACTTCAGTGTAGAAAAATGTTTTGTGCATGAGTGGGCCACTTCTGGCTCCACAGCTCTTCCTCCTCTGATGTGTGCCTTAGAGCCCAGAATACACCTTCAGTTGCTGGATTAGCTTTGATCTCTTGTTAACCACAGTCATATTCAGTTCAAGCCCAAAGGAGCCTGAGCCCTAAATATTTCATTCCCCCCCCCTGCAAAACATCTCCCCCCCCCCCAACCCCATCCACTTGTCTTGGCTCCAGGAAATCTGGATTTTTATACTGCTGTAACGCTGCAAAACATCCCCCCCCCCCCCAACCCCATCCACTTGTCTTGGCTCCAGGAAATCTGGATTTTTATACTGCTGTAACGCTGTCTTGCGCCTCACAATATAACCACATAATCCGTATGTGTGTTAAATGCTGTCAAGTTGCTTCCGACTTATGGTGATGCTGTGAATTAATGACCGCTAAATGTCCTGTCGTTAACAACCTTGCTCAGGTCTTGCAAACTGAGGGCCATGGCTTCCTTTATTGAGTTGCATCTTGCAATCTAAATATGTTTTAGTGATTGCATGTAGTGCTTAAGGAAAGACAAAGGGAATGATTTGTTTCAATTATCTGTGCATATAATTTGATGACGTTTATAATTATATAGAATCAGATAGTTTGTAAAGAATTCCATTCAAGCAACCCATTCTTCGTTTGCACCCAAGAGGGGATTGGGTGGTGTCCTACCAAGAGACTGCAGGAAATTCTTTCACCCTGTGGAGCCTTCATCTGATTTATGTAGTTCTTCCTCCCATGGAAGAGTCATGGAAGTGGGAGGATACAGGCCAATAACTCTGGTTATAACTCTGCATAATCTTACTCTTCCCTGGTACTGTTTGATTAATCCAAATTTCATGAGAAATGTAAGACCTCTTTTTTGTTGCTATGGTTTAAGTACTTGGTGCTGACCACTGTAGTTTGATAAGTAATATCATCAGTATTAGAGTTTCCTAATGATGTAGTGATTTTCCTTATTTTTCTAGACCAGTTGATGTAGGATATCCAGAAGGCCATCCTGGAGGACCAGTGTCTCAACCAGATTTTGGTGTAGGGATTAAGTGGAAAGCATCAGCCAGGCCCTCACACGCAGGGCAGACCTCTGTTTTACCTCAAGGGAGCCGAAGTAGATCTGGGACACTGCCCAGCGATTACAGGTATTCACAGGACAATGTGAATGAAAAAAGCAAAGATTACAGTGTGCTGCCGCCCACTGTTTCTGAGCTGCAAATAACAGATGAAAACCACCTCTATCAACCCCAAGACAAAGGAGAAGAAAGCCTACAAGCAGAGCTGGGGCATCTGAATAAGAAACATGGTCCTATACTTCAGAAGCCTCCCCCACCCAAACGAGATAATAAACACAGACGGCAGGACAGTTCTTTGGCATCAGTCCCTGCGTCATCAGAGTCTTTACTGACAGCAACCAGTTGGCCAGTTCAGTCAGTGCCTCCTGTTGCTTCCAGTGTGGTTGCTGGTCACTTCTCTCCTTCTCACACTGTGAAGGTTTCTGGAAAATTAGCAGGCACTGAGCTGCCAGAGGCTCCACAGCTAGTATCCACAGAGAATGTTTGTCAGCACTTAGAAGAAAAAACACATCTCAAGCCTGAACCTGTGCCATCTTCGACATATCACTACCTACAAAAACCTGGAATGGAAACATCAAGGTCCCCTTCACCACAGTTTGCTCCACAGAAGTTAACTGACAAACCCCCTGTAGCTGTCCAGGATGAGAATCCCACAAGGTACTAACATTTGTCTATATTAAGTAGAGATATAACATTTCTGGAAATTTTGAAGTCACAGGGAGGGGGGAATTGGGAAAGTTGAAACATATGCAATACTTATTTTCCTGCACCATATGCTGCCATACCACAGAGATCTTAATTTTTGCCATCTAAGAGGGTAGGGAGAAAAATGAAAGTTGAAGGCAGAAAACAAGTTCTGTAGTAAACCAAACAAAGGAGTCACAATAGGTAGAAGTCACAACAGCAGGTGTACCAACATAATTGGATATCGAGTTAAGCTTCATAACATTAAAAACTCTGAACACTTTAATAATGTATTATTAAACACATAACAGCATATTAATTGTTGCTAATATTATTTACATTTGAACAAAAATGTATTCTTGAAAATGTTGCATATGTCTATAGTATACAGAGAAATCATTATCTAATGCTGTAGACTGGCTTACTTAAAAATTGTTCATATTACATATTTAAGTAAAAATTTACCTTTCATTTTCACTAATTCCAAAAGCAAACAAAAGTCATAGAAGGGGTTTCCCATTGTTTCATATGAGTTTTTTTTTTTTTTTGTGTTCCCCCCCCCCCCCCCCCATTTTAAGATTTTTCCACTGGGAAAAAACACCAGGACAGAAAAACACAATTTTTTCAACCCTCCCCAAACTTTACATATCTAAAGCTAGATTAATGATTTGCCCTTACCCCCCAGTCTGTCTAATATATTTTCTTACATGTCAATAAAGGTAATTGGATTGGATTGGAATATATTTCCCAGTGTGATTTTTAAATGATATGGTGCATTTCATAGGTCTGGTATAATTTTCTTATTCTACTACAATAATGACTCAGTAATACTGATGATTCCAGCCAATTCTATTACTTCATAAAAGTTTTTGCTCATTTCCACCACCCCCCCCTGTGATTTATTAAATAGCAATAGTATAAAATTAGGTTCTTCATGGAGAACCAAGAATGAGCACTGGAATTCCACCTGGAAATTCTATTGAGCCTTCTCATTCCCTAAATACATAATTCGTCTGACTGTAAACCCTGAAGAACTTAATTGTTTTAATTGTTTAATCAAACTGAGATAGTCAGCTTTCAGTATAATCCCCTCAGTTGTTTTATAGGTGTATAACAAAACATTGTTGACAAAGTCCTCACTAACATATGGTCATGGATGGGCTATCCTACAAATCAGTAACTTGTCAAAGAAAAGGAAGGAGGCGGTAGGTATAAATGAACATTTTTTTACAATGGAAGGAGATAAGCACTGGGACATCCCAAGGATGAGTACTGGAATCAGTGTGCTATTAAATTCCAAAATCATCTCGTTTTGAGGGTGAGTAGGTCAGATAGCCAAGTTTTGTAATGACACTGAGTTCTAAGGTACCTAGGTTAGTGGTTAGGTCTCTGCAGTGGTGACTAAGGTAAAGGTAAAGGTTTCCCTTGCTCAAAAGCTAGTTCAATCCGACTCTAGGGGGTGGTGCTCATTTCCATTTCCAAGCCGAACAGCCAGCGCTGTCCGAAGATGTTTCCCTGGTCATGTGGCCAGCATGACTAAATGCTGAGGCTCACGGAACGCTGTTACCTTCCCACCGAAGCGGTACCTATTTATCTACTTGCAATTTCTTGCTTTCGAGTTGCTAGGTTGGCAGGAGCTGGGGCCAGAGACGGGAGCGCACTAGGGTCTCGAACTGCCAAACTGCAGACCTTCCAGTCTGCAGCTCAGTGTTTTAACCTCTAAGCCACCACAGCCCCCTGCAGTGGTGACTAGATGCCACTAGTATGTTCTTAGGGATTCAGTTTGAATTTCTGGCTTCCCCACATTACCCTGACCACAGATACTTCACTGTCGGATTGAGGTGCTCACTGCAAAGGCTTTTCGGTGCAAGGCCAGTGGCCTCCCATGCAGATTACTCCCCATATTAATCTCTTGGAACTTCATTCAGTGAGATTTGCCCTTTACAGATATTCTCAGGGGCAAGAAGGTGTTGATCCAAACAGACAACACTGCAGCAGTATATTATTTCACCAAACAAGGAGGCACGGGGTCCTATTGTAATGCTCCCATACTTTCATCTGTCCTTATCTGACATGCAGGCTATGATTGAATGTTTCCAGGTTTGGAAAGATTCTATTCAAATTCCCATTTGCTATGATGTCCAAATGCAAGGGCCTGGGCAAATTTAGATGCTTTTCTTCTATAAACCAGGATACTAATATGCTGGCACATATTATGTGCTCTTATGACGTAATTGTTGTTTTCTTTCCCCAAGAATCGAAAGAGTGATGGATAACAACACAATGGTAAAAATGGTTCCCATCAAGATTGTGCATTCTGAGAGCCACGCGGAGAAGGAAAGCAGACAGAATCTTGCAAGCACAATAGAGCTTCCTGCTTTGCCAAGTGGACTGGAGAAAGACCAGATTAAGACGCTCAGTACTTCTGAACAGTCCTACTCACGTTTCTGTGCTTATACAAGGCAAGGTGTGGAGTCAGAGCCTGAGAAAAAAAATAGATTGCCTTATTTGCAGCCTGCTGAAGCGCTTGGAACCAACTTGAAGGACAGTGATGTTCCTGCCCATGCAGTTAGCTATGTGAGGGCCAAAGAAAAGACAATTGATGACTGGAAGTCAGAGGAGTTAGCCAGAGAGATTGTGGGCAAGGATAAATCGTTAGCAGATATTTTGGGCCCTAATGTGAAAATCAAAACAACAATGGACCTGATGATGGGAATCTTTCCAAAAGATGAACATCTCTTGGAAGAAGCACAACAACGCCGGAAGCTTCTTTTAAAAGTTCCTTCACCAAAAGCTGCAGAGGACAAGTAAGTAGAGATTTCTTTCCTCAATTTCAATCTTTATTAAAAACGGTCATAGACCAACACAAGTCAGTATAAGTATAATACAGTAAATAAACAATAATTAGATGAGTGAATAGATACAAAATTATTAGAATATTAAAATTCTTCATACCTAAAACTTTCTGATGAATTTTACAAGCTATAACCTGTGGGTTTTCACCTATAAGTAGTATTCTGGAATATGGCAAATCGCAGCAACAAGCGTATCTGCTAAGCAAAGACAGAGTAAACTTAGAGCAAATCTCTAAGTAAAATTGGCAGTGAAATAAAACATTTTCTATTGTTTCAGTCTCACCTATGCCACAAAGGCAAGACCTATCTATCATGGGGGCCTTTTATATCGCCCCTCCAGTACCACAGCGGTGAGTGCTCGCCATCTGGCAAGAGAAAATGCCCTCCGTTGACTAGGAATCTACAATTAAGAGAGATAGGCGGTGGGGGCGAAAACATATCTAGAACTGTCTGAGGCCAGATAGGGAACTCTCTACATAGCTAGAGGTGTGAAGGCCCGGAAAAAAACGGAAAAATTCAGGGGGGGGGTGTTCTTTTCTGAAAAATTTGAAAAATTAAAAAAGGGAAAAAAATTGATTATGGAACGTTTTATTTTAACATGATAAATAAAATATTTTTAGACAAGGTGTTTAAATATTTTCCAAATCATTTCTAATATATCTATATATCTAATAGTGAACTGGCCCCCTCTGTGCGGATCCTTAAATCCGGACATCGGGGGCACTTGGGGGGAGGGAGAGGTTTGTGCACACGTGGGGCAGTCCCCACGTGTGCACAAAAATCCTAAATCCTGAAAAAAAATCGGGGGGATGTTTAAATCCCCCCGAAAGTGCCAGAGCGTTCCGTGCGCATGCGCATGGAACGCTCTGCGACCGAGGCTGCCACCGCTTGGAAGGGAAGCGGTGAGCGGCGACCCGGGAGGGGGGCCCAGAGCGGCGAGGGCTGAGCGGCTTGGAGCCGGGGGGAAGGGGGGAAGCCGCCGGCGCCACCTCTACCACCGCCGCCGGGCGGGTGGCCGGGGAACAGCGAGGCCTGGGTGGCTGCAACCTCCCAGGCCTCAGTTCGGAGCAGGGCGGCGCGTCCCCACAACAGACACCCTGTAAGGTGGGTGGGGCTGAGAGAACTCTGACACAAAAATTCTCTGATACAAAAATTCTCTCATACAACATACTTTATGGCAAAATGAATGTTCATAAGAGTACAGCTTACTTGGATTCTTCATATTCTACCCACTGATACATTTCCACATGACGTTTAAGGGCCAGGTCTACCAATGCAGTGGGAAGGGGTGGGTAGACCTGGACTCTGGAGGGGGGGCGCGCAAGTATCGCGGGTCCCCCCCTTGTGTGTGTGTGTGTGTGTGTGTGTGTGTATATATATATATATATGGTATCAGATTGATCTAATTTCTGTGCACTTAGGACAAGCAAGTCCTAGGTTACAAACTGAACTCTCCAATGCAAGAACAAGATGCATTTCTTCCTTTAGGAGGTGCTATTGTCTTTAAAGAAAGATGGGCAGACTTTTATAATTGGTTAAAGAACAAGACTTTGTAATAGACTCGCAAAGATGTTATGTTATGTTAAAATTACAAGTGTAAAGGATGTACAATCCTTTTTTCTTTTCTTTTTCTGGAAAAACTTAAAACACTTAAAAAAAAAGGAGGTGCTATTGTCAGAAGAAAATAAAAAGGTTTCAGTTTTGTTTTTGCATGTGGGTGGGTATTCTGTTTGTAATAAGTAAAAATGTCCATAGTCATATTTTGTGTTCCTAAAGTAACAGAATGACTTTCAATCTAGAAAAAACAAAAGAAATGCTAATGTCGCATTTTTTTCAATTTTTGCGAAAATTTCCACTTTTCCCCCGAAAAAACCTGGAAAAAAACCGGGTTTTTTTCCGAGCTTCAAAATTTCTGGAAATTTTACATATCTATACATAGCACTGCTGCTCAGTGTCCAACAATCTTTGCTTTAACATTTGTTTTGCCTGATCAAGCCCCGTTTCTAAAACAGGCTGAGGGGAAAAGCCCAGACTCATCAGCTTGTTATTTACTTCCCTTAACCAAGAAGATTGGTAACCCTCACTGAGAGTCAAGGAGGTTAAGCCCTGAGGACTGTAGTTTAGCTTTAGCCAAAGGTTAATGAAGGCAAGACACACCCTGGCCAAAACTTTAACCAATCAGTCTCCAGGCGCAAATTTGCATTAGAGAAACAGTGAAGCATTTGGAGGCCTGCTCTTCTGCAAACCAGTGGTAATGCCCTTTATTTTGTTGTATCTATGCATAAATCTATGTTCAACTTTTTCAGTTGAAGGAATCCTGTAATAAAAGCACACACCAGAACATATAGATAGGCTGCTAATCTTGTCCAGCATAACATTTCTAACAGCGTCCAGCCAGATGTCTCCAAAAAGTCTAAGCATAAGCATGAAGACCTCTTTGCCCAGCAATCTGGTACTCTATTTCTGAACATGGAAGTTCTGCTTAACTGTTATGGCTACTAGGAGCCTGACTTCTATTAATTTCGTCTTTTAAAAAAGAGCCAGAACATACAAACATAAATGAGGAGTAATATTCAGAGATGTAGACAATATGCAAAGTTATCGCCGTGGAAAATATTGCAAGTTACCTGAGAGAAGGCAAGACACTTTTTCCCCACTCTCAAGTTCACAGAGGTAAAGAAAGTGATTTAGCTTAACTATAAATTGCATAGTAGAGAACGTATACAAAACCAGACATTTTTCAAAGCTACTTGGATTTTGCTCTTCAAATATTGATTTCACTCATAATCAATGTTCCCTCTAAGCTGTGGAGTCTCGTGAGCAGAAATTCTACTTTGTGAGCTACTGGCATTAAAGTTGTGAGCGAGCCATTTGGCTCCTGCAATAATTAGTTTGCTCTGGAGCCATCCTTCCTGAGCTGAGACAAAAATGTGTGAGCTGGAGGCTGAAAAACTGTGAGCTAGCTCACTCTAACTCAATTTAGAGGGAACACTGCTAACATGGCCTAAAAGCATGTTGATGAGGCACTGCACACCAGAAATCGAGCCATTTCATCTAATTCTAACGAAAGTTTTATCATGTGCTCGTGTTTGTGACAATCACTTCAGAAACACACCCGTAAACATAAGGTGGGATCTATACAGCTGGCTCTCATCCCTAACTGAAGTTCAGGTGCAGACATTAAGCAAGTAGGATGTCATTTTGAAAGTTCAAGGGTGGCCTTTCCCATGCCTGAGGGATGGCAGTCCCAAATAGAAACTGTGGGCTGCTTCTGCCACTCAGTACAATGGAAAATGTTCAGCTCCATGAATTCATCAGCAGTAGTTTTATTTTACTAAAACATGGATTTATTTAAATGTATTGTAATATGTGTGAATTAATTTTTGTTGTGTTGTGATGTAATTACAAAATAAATCAACTGTATGAACTTGCTTGTTTCTAAGTGAGCTCAGAGGGTCCGAGAAGACTCCAAACATTTGTGAATGTGTGAAGACTTTTTCACAGGATGAGATTTTTCTCTGGGTTTCACACAGAAAATTTCATGCTCAGCTATATGAGGGGGGAAAAGTCACCGATGGCACCACTTGCCCTTATTGAGACCCACTTGGCCAGTTCACATGGCTGTTTTGTCATATGAAATATGGGAAGCAATGTAGCTATTAATAACTGTCTATTAAGTTTATATTCCATTGACACCTTAAAAGCTTGTGTAAAAAGCTTTAAACGTTTAAATTAAAAAGATAACTGTTTATTAATTACTGGGCATTTTCATTGTGTTCACATAAATATATTCCGCTAGATTGGCAGTCTGTTCCTTGATTGCTTGCATACATGCCTGTTCTCCCTGTCTATTCTCTGTCTGTCCTACTTCTGAACATCCATACGGGTTTTAGCATTCGAATCAGGTATATGCTCCAATGTAAGTGTTAAGTCCGTACTTAACAAAGTAGTCAGAGAGTGATTTCAGCAAAACTGAGGTTTATTCAGCTCTACAGTCAACTTCTCCAACACGGTACAACTCCTCATAGCCCGAACAGCTTGTCCATTTCAGCTGCTCGGTATTTAAACATTCCGGGCTAATGTAGCCACACCTACTATACAAGTTCCAACCTATCAGGTTGTTCGCATAATAGCCCAATCACAAACGTTCCCACCACAGACAGTTCAAATGTGATTGGACACAATACTTTAGGCGCGAATCCTAGCCGACGTCTGAAGCTTAGCATAGCTTCTCTATGGGACGATTCACACTTCATCCCCATGTATTCAGGGCAGCATCTGAATACATTACAGTAAGTATGGTTGAGCTCTTATATAAAATCCAGGAATCAGTGGTGTGCTTTTCTGCATTGAATGGTACGTCTAATTTGAACGTTCTGCCTTCATGTGGATGTTGAGAGGTGGGATGGGCTCACTATGTGGATGGAGATGGCAAGTGTGCCCGCACTTCCCCTGCCACATGTAAGGGAGTAACTGAGGGGATGTATAATTCAGTTTTGCCCAATAATTTGATTGTAGCAATGCAGTGAGATTCATTTGGGAACAGTTTTTTACAGTGATTTTTAGAGGAGCTTGAAGAGAACCCTACATGAAATTACAAATACTGTATTAGTGTTTATGGGTCAAAATGCAACAGTGATTGTTCAGACATCTCCTGCTTAAACAATGCCCCGTGGTTTTTATGGTTTGTGTTTGTTTGGGTTTGGGTCCTAATATTTTCTAACCAAAGAAAGAAACCTTGAGATTAATTACCAAGCAGGTCATTGTGAATGTCTTGCTTTTCCTAACGGAAAGAGGAGTCTCCCTGATCACCTCATACTTCCTCTACCGGTGAACCTGACCAAGCATGGCATTTTCAAGGTGGTGTGATGAGGCAACAATCGTTATATCTGATATTGGTTGTAATTGCAATTTTCGCTGAATGTCATCCAGTCTTTTCTTGGACTATGGCAGCTCGTGGCATGCAGTTTAGAGCTGTTTTAAACACTTATATTTTGGTAAAAGCGGAAAACCATTATCTCAGTAGGCAGCTAGCAAATGTTATACATCTAAATTCACTAATACCATAGTCGTGCTTAACAGTCAAATAATTGCTGGTACTTTTGCTTTTATTATATGCCTTCCCTGTCATTTCCTAACATTTCAGTTGTCAGTGGCTCTTCCTGAAGCTGAGTGAAGGCTGACTTCAGTAATGAGAGCTTGTAAGCATTAGCACTGTGGATAATGAAACAAGCAACTCTATTTTTCACTCAAAGATATGTTTATGGGATTATATAGCCAGAACCAATGAAAGCCCCCCAAAATATCTAAGCATTGCCTTCTGCGTGACACCTGTATAATCAAACATAGCACATAGTGATCAACATACAGTTGGAGAATAGCAATTAAGAAGCAGAACCAGCACTTTCAAGCAGACATTTGGGTAGAGTCTTCTAATTGCCCATCTCTATTGCTAGGTTCTGAGTGGCATAGCTGTTTCATTCAAGACATCAGGGGTTGAGAAGTCTCTATAGTTAATCACGTTTCTTCTAAACCTACAATTTACTGGCTGCAAACGGTATTTCAGAACTACTGCAGACTTGTTACAAATGGTATTAACTAGCGCACATACACAAACGAATCGAACATGGGTGTGTTTTCTCTCAAACTTTCTCTTAGGAAAGAGGAGCAGCCTCTGCCTTTGGCCATCCCTCTGACAACCAGTTCCACTTACTATAGCACATCTGCACCTAAGGCAGAACTCCTGATCAAAATGAAGGACATGCAGCAGCAACAGTTACAGCAGCAAAGCGAAGAGGATTCTGAGGATGAGCTAGACCATGATTTGTCTGAGAAAAAGGTAAGCATACATTCATATTTGCATTTTTAAAAAATAATATATGGGGGAGGGGCTATGCTGGTGCCTCTTTGCCACAGCCAGGCTGGCTACAACTAAATATGGCCAAGACAGAATCGATACAGCAGCACATGCCAACATGCTGGCATACGGGCACATGCAAGAGGGGAGAAATACCTGTTCCGCTTGCTAGAAGAAATGTGAGTAGACAACACATTCGTTGTACCAGGACCTTGGTAGGGCTTCAGTATTTGGCTGAAGAAACACCAGACAATAACAAAGACTGCTGTCTGTTTTTAGACCAGCACATTTGAAGCTGACTTTTATCCCTTGATCTGGAAAACCCCTATCTAATCTACATTTAGCCAGGATATTGAGATGTAATCTTTGACTCTCAAGTCTGTTTACTAAGCATTTTGTAAGTGGTGCAGTGGGAACCTCAGTTGTTCGTTTAATCAAGATGCAGAGGGCCAACCATGGTGTTTCAGCCACGTACCCTTATTGTATGTCTTCATCTTATAATAACTCAGCTTTCTGTTCATGTGATCACTGAGATATAAATAGAAGAATCCTGATCTCCCCCCGCCAATTGGTTGACCTAATCTCAGATGCTTTCAGTCTGTGATTCAGCATTTCAGCACACAGGCAAATGAAGTAACAGAAGTGACTTCAGGGACTGCTGTCCTTGGGTAACTGATTTGTGTAAGCTAAAGTTTATTTAGGTACATAGGTCCAAAAGCTAAGTCTGGCAAACAAATCTGTGGTCCTCTTCCTAACCCATTTTGGCTGTTGCACCCTTTTAACTACTGCTAAAGAGTAACCTGGAGCTATGGTCCAATTTTAACTATATTTTACAGTTTGCTCAAAGATGACAGGGTGAATAGAGTGATCTTTTTTATTTTGCTGGAGCCATGTAGGAGCCATTTTTCCCTTGTGGCTTGGAGCTACTTCACCCACCCATGTGGTTGCATCATTCAGCTATGTGGGATCGCCTCCCCAAAAAGTTGTTTCTGCATACCTGCAGCTTCATATAAAGGACACCTTAAAAAGGTAAAGGTTCCCTTGCTCGAAAGCCAGTCGAATCCTACTCTAGGGTTGCGGTGCTCATCTCTGTTTCAAAGCCGAAGAGCCAGCGCTGTCCGAAGACATTTCCGTGGTCATGTGGCCGGCGTGACTAAACACCAAGGTGCACGGAACGCTGTTACCTTCCCACCGAAGTGGTACCTATTTATCTACTTGCAATTTCTTGCTTTCGAACTGCTAGGTTGGCAGGAGCTGGAACTAGAGACTGGAGCTCACTCCGTCATGCGGCACACTCGGGTCTCGAACAGTTCAGCATCTTAACCACTTGAGCCACCTTACAGAGACTCAAAAGTCCATCGTACACTATTCTAGACTTTGAAGGTGACGGTGAAACTTAAGAACTAGTTCATTTGGTCTGTAGTAAGTCAGACAAGGACCATTTTATCCACAAAGAGCAGAAATATGGGTTGCAATCTTTACCGCCAAAAATACATTCAATATGGCTGTCGCTTTTACTCCACCTTAATACAGTGTTAGATTTTTGTGTGGTGGAACTGATGCTTTTATTCTGCATTCCATTCTGTGTATGTATGTGAAAGGAAATCTCTAGATGTAGAATTGCATAACTTTCTCACTCTAGGTTCTGTGATTGTTCCATAGGACCTCTTAAATACAAAACATGTAGAACAGAGGCTCAGGAGCAACATACAGTTCTTTGACATGCCACCTGTGGCTACCCTGAGCACTATTCCCCAACGTAGGTTCTACCCCGTGTTCTAGGGAAAGGGTCAACACTATTGCCTAGAAGGGGTTCTGGTTGGCAGGTAGTTCCCGCTTAGCATCCTCTCTTTGGTAACACTTGATTTCAGGTTGAACTTTTAATATAAGGATGCATTTATCTTTCAGCATCTAGCCTAATAAAGAGGTCTGGTGAACTTGAAAGCTTGTGTGCTGTTTCGTGTCACAAGGCTGACTTTGCAAGCCCTTCCCCTTACTCCAGATACACAAGGGTTGGTTAAGGTTCAAAAGTAGTAGTGAGAGACCACCTCACAAGCTCAGAGGAACCTTGATAATTAAAATGGGTATAGTTATACATTTAATATTAATACTTATCGTATGTTTGCATTTGGTGGGATGGCACACAGGGCACAACAATAGCCATGTTACTCTTTTCATTGATGGTAATTGTGAACATATATGCTGAAGATGGTGGCAAGCTAGAGACACCTTAATGTTGGCGCTGCAGACAGACTGCGAAAACTGGCTCAAATTCAGTTAGTATCGCCCGGTCGGAGAAAACTGGATAACTGGAGTGGAGTGAACTAGAGTGGAAGGCGAGGTTGGAGGACGAAAAGCTGAAAAACCTCTTTTGGACTAGCGCAGCCATCGACGGGGATTGGTCATCGGATGGCCTTCCTCTGGTGGGACCGATGTCCGGATCCTCGGGCTGGCGCTGGGTCCCTGCCGGTGCTGGAGACGTGGACGGCAGCTGGATGAACTCCATGCCGCTAGTGCGGCCGCCACCTTGGGGCGCATACGGGGACTCCAGGGACCAGTCTATTTTGGTCTGGCTGGTGGTGGGGGCACTTTCAGCTGAGCGGTCAGCGCCGAAAGTGCAGTCTGCCATGGAAGAGCGCCGGGCGACTGGGGTGCCTGGGGGGGAGGCGACTTACAGGGGTCCCTCCTGCCCCCTGCCCAAGCCGCGGGATGACCGGATGACCACATTGAACATCACGTCTGTCCTGGCTCGGGCTGATCCCCCCTTGTGGAAATTTGGCGCTTGTTCTGGGAGTGGCAGTACCCCGCTCTCCCCCCCCCCCGGCAGGCTGGCATGGGGACAGTAGGACTTCAGCGCCACTGGACCTTTATGACCATCCACAGCAGCAGGAGAGGGAGAGGCAGAGGACAAGCAGAGTGATCTCCTACACTGAGAAAGGGCCGGTACAACAAAGAACGGGGGTCCTGGAGCTGTATGGAACTGTTTCGACTGCCCTGGAACACCGAGAAAGAACTGGAGGTGCCATCGGATGCCACTGGGTGCGGGACACTGGGCCCGAGCATCAAGGCCAATCCACTCAGAATCACTCAGATCCACCGAGGTGAAGAAGCCTGAGGAAGATTGAACAGGATCGAATTGCTGCTGCCCCACGTATATAATTACTGTTTGTAACTGGCTGTTTAAATTTATAGGAATTAGATTTTAGACTTAATTGGGGGGTATTTATTGTTAATTAATTGTTGTTTGCCAATTAATTGGGGGGTTGATTTAGAGAGGGATTTTTAATTGATTGATCGATCAAATTGTCCAATTAATTGGGGGGTTGGGGCCAGGCGGGGATGGAAGGGAAGGGGGTGGAGAAATGGAGAAGCTCGGCCACCTTCCAGCCTGCGTCCCATCCCAAAGGTGGCAGGCAGTGGGGCAAGGATTAAAAACCCCACTCCTTCGGTGGGGCACCGTTGGTGCCAAACCCGAGGGTCAGGGGTTTGGGAGTGCTCCTGGACGCCTCCTTGACAGTGGACAATGACAAAGGTAGCAGCCACTGCCAAGACAGCCTTTTACCATCTTCGGCTGATTAGGCAGTTGGTCCCCTTCCTCAAACACAATTATCTGGCTTCGGTGATCCACGCTATGGTCACCTCGAGGTTGGACTACTGCAATACTCTCTACGTGGGGCTGCCCTTGGGGCAACTCCAGAAGCTGCAGCTGGTGCAAAATGCAGTGGCCAGGCTGTTGATGGGCCTCCCTATGTGGGAGCACATTCAGCCTGTGCTGAAGTCACTGCACTGGCTACCAATAGCATTCCGGATCTGCTTCAAGGTGCTGTTTTTGACCTTTAAAGCCCTTTATAGTCAGGGGCCTGCCTACCTGAGGGACCGCCTTTCCGCGCATGTTCTCCAAAGAGCACTGGTACACAAAACCACCTGCCCCCCCCCCCGGGCCTAGGGACACCAGGTTGGCGGCGACTAGGACCAAGGCGTTCTCCGTGGTGGCGCCGACGCTCTGGAATGAGCTCCCCAGCAAGATTAGAGCCCTGTGGGACCTCCAGCAATTCTGCAGGGCCGTGAGAACAGAGTTTTTTCACCGGGCATTTCAGTAGGAAAGGCCCTATATCGGCTGCGCTTCACTTGCACTTTATTATACGACACCGCCACATTTAAATGGTTTTAACTGTATTTAATTGGAAATGAGCTGAGCTATTTTATTGAGTTGTATTTTACATATGTACTTATGCTGGTTTTATAATTGTTGTAAGCCGCCCTGAGCCGCTTCAGCGGGAGGGCAGGATAGAAATCTAACGAATAAAATAAACATAAACATGGGTTTCCATGAGCCATGGAGTGATTATCAATGATGTTGCTGGGACTGGAGGAGGAGGGTTCCTTCTCTTTAACCTTCCTTTCCCTTTCCTCCATATTTTCACCTCATCCATTTGTTTGCTTACAACAACAAACTTAACATAACTACTCTTTTGATTTATGAATATGGCTGCATTCAAACATCATGAGAACTACCCAAGAAGTTCTTGGGCTTGAGCCAGGAAGGCTTCTCCCCTCACATGTGATGTGAAGATTGAAATGTCCTAATTGGGAACAAAGTGTCATTTGCTGTGACAACTGAACCGGCCAAAATGACAAGCTATGGTTTGTCCTTTTGCTTACAAATGAGGATTCTTAACCAGGCCATGGGTGGCTATTAGAATATAAGATATTTGGATACATACCCATCTCAGAGCGACCAAGTGCTTATCATAACCCTTCCCTATCTAAACTGTACAATATTTTAAAAATATAGGCAAGGGAGAGGACTTATTATGCTGTGGTTATATCACTTGTACATGATAATTTGTCCTCCCCCCTCCTTTTTTCCCTTTTTAAATTTAGCAAGAGCTTATAGATAGCATAAGTCGAAAGTTGCAGGTGCTGCGAGAAGCACGGGAGACACTCCTGGAAGACATTCAGGCGAATAATCTGCTTGGAGATGAAGTAGAGGACGTTGTGAAAAAGGTCTGCAAGCCAAATGAGTTCGACAAGTTCCGGATGTTCATTGGAGACTTAGACAAAGTGGTCAACCTCCTGCTGTCCCTCTCTGGTCGTCTCGCCCGGGTGGAAAATGCCTTGAACAATTTGGATGAAAATGCTTCTCCTGAAGAACGGGTAAGGCAGTGTAGTGTGGTTGTTCTGTTTTGAAAAGCCACCATCTGGTTTTTGTCCTCTTTGTGTTATTTTCCCTAATAATACAGCTGATGAAAAGTTGTCAAGAACTTTAGAGAGAACTTCTTAACTCAGAAGATTAGCCTACAGAAAAGCCAGATCAGGGGTCAGTAGCCTTTTACAATTAGCCAAACTATCCAAATTCAGAGCAAGAGATCAACAAAGAGCATCGCTGAAAATATACAGCAACATCAGTAATAATTGACATTTGTTGAGTAGTAATCCATAAAGCTTCCACAGACCAAACACTGGTTATTGCAAGGTCTTTATTAGGAAGTGATGCACACAGGGTCACACAATAAATAAAAAATACACACAGGAGCAAACGGTGTGGTAGTTTGTTTTAGTGCACTGGCATAAATCTGTGCATGGATTACTTGCAACTGTTCTCCTCTATCAATACATCTAATTTGTAATGTGACCCTATCTGTGGATACTTAAATCCAGAGATGAGGGGGCATGGACAGACAAGATGCATCTTTCTATAAACCTAAGAAAAGCCCCCTGTTTGCAGAAAAATCTGAAATCTAAGAAAAAAAAGAAAAAATGGGGGTTTAACCTCATCTAAAGTGATAGAAGCAATGCCTATACCTTTAAAACCAAATGCCCTCATTGGCCATTGCTAGGCAATCACAACAGTATTGCCAGTCTTCAAGCCTTGATTTCTGTCAGTAAAAGGTAGGGTGGGCAGGGCCCTTTCCAGGGCTATTTTGGCCTTTGGAGCTGGACTTCTCAGTGTCAGGCCCAGCAATAACCCCTGGGTGATTTGCTACTATGCAGCTTGCATGACTTACCCAGGCATGGCTGCTCAACAGCAGTCGCTCCATGAAAGCCCATGTGGTGTAGTAGTTAGAGTTTCAGATTAGAATCCAGAAGAACCAGGAGTGAGACCTCACTCTGCAATGGAAGCTCACTGTGAGATTTTGAGCCCCAAATACCCTATAAGCCTAATCTACCTCGCAGGGTTGTTGTGAAGATAAAATTGAGGAGAGGAGAATTATGTAAACTGTGCTGGTTCCCAATGGGGAGAGAGTGGAGTGTATATGGAGTAAATAATAAAAATAGCTGAAAATGGGGGGGGGCAGATAAAAGGTTGGTTAGTGGGTGGGAAGAAGATAAGGAAACAGAGAGAGGTAAGGATATAGGGGCTGCCAGCATGAGGGAAATAGTGTGAGGAGGGGAAGGTACAGAGAAAACTAAGGTGCCCCCACAAGTCCTTGCAGATCTCGGACTGTGCGGCTTGGCTCATCCCAGAGGCTGGCACCGTACAACTGGGCCAGACTTTTCCCAGGGAGAGGTTGCTGAAGAAAGGAAGGTTGGGAAAGGAAGCTTCTTTTAAAGCTAAAGACAGAGGGCAAATAAAGATAGGTTGGCTGGTGAGTGGGAAGGAGAGAAGGAAACAATGAAAGGGGGAGGATATGTGGACTTTTAGGGAAGGAAAAGAGGAAATAGTGGGGAAGAGGAAAATGAGATACATGTCCTAGCAGGTTGCCTACTTGTAATTTCTATTTCTGTAAAGAGTATGTAAAGAAACTCATGTCCCATAAAAATCTTTGCCTGCCATTCCCTTCACGTACTGGTGATTGTTTGCAGACCCTTGAGATACACCTAACAGGGAGTGAGTCCCTAAATTTTGAATGGCTAATCACACCTAGACTTAATGCTTCATCAACATTATGAGTACCATGAGACTCTGGAAGCTGCTATCTTTATTTGAGGTGCTCTTAGATTTCTAACATTTTTTCTTCACTGTTTCTTATAAACAGTGAAGACTAAATTGCCACGTACTTGCAGTGTAATCCAGCCCAAACCCATTCATTTTAGTGTAACAGTGAGAGCGTGTTTTGTTTTTTTGGTGGTGGTGGGGGTTAAGCATATATTTCTGTACAGTTCTTAAATTGTCCTTGGACCTTTTCTCCTGTTGGTTTTCTCTTAAGTTCGGTTGGATTTCTTTTTTCCATCCTTTCTCTTGCCAGGGTTTGGGGGGGGGGGCAGGAGGAGAGGTGGTATTTGTTGCTAGGGATGGGCACGAACTGGTTCACAAACCAAAATTTGGCCCAACTTGGGCCAGTTCAGAGTTCCCGAAGTGATTTTCAAGCATTTACTGGATTTTTGTGGTTGGTTCAGTTTGGCTGTTCGGGGCCAGCCATTTAAACCTAACTGCTGAGTGGTGCAGGGTCTGTGCTGAGTGGTGCTGGTAGCCATTTAACCCTTCCCAGGCATCCCCTCTTTCCTCCTGGCCACAGCTGGGAGAAATGTGGAAGGGAAGTTCTTTCAGCCACAGTGATTGTGATCTGAATCCCATGATGAAACCATAACGGAATATGTGTATGCAGTGGAGCTTTTGGGGGGGAGGAAAACTGGGGCAGGGGAGGATGAGCAAAAAACATCCTTTTTTTAGTCTAAGCTTAGACATTTCAACTGGGCCTGAGCAAGGGGAAGTTTAACATTTTGTTCCCCTTGATTGCAATGGCAAAGTTAAGTATGTGCTAAATCAGTGGGGCTTGAAAGTGTTTAACTTTGGCTGGATCATCTCACACATTTGAACCTATAATCATGCCAATATTCATAGCTGAAATTGCAAAAAAAACACCCTTGTTATGAATTGCTTTGCTCACAGTTATTATAATAAATATACCTCCTTTTGAACTAGACTGTATAGAATTGTGATCATGTTTGACTTAAAGAATTCTCAATTAGATTTAAAGTTTGTAATCCTCACTAGTTTTTGGTAACCAGACACATTGCTGAGTACGCATTTGAGAGAAGGCTGGCTTGCATGCAAAAATTAAAATTGTCTCTTAAGTGATAGGCTTTCCTGTCAAAACAAATGATTTTGTTTTTTCCCCCCTCTAGCGAGTCCTGGTGGAAAAACAGAAGCTACTCACACAACAGCATGAGGATGCGAAGGAGCTGAAGGAAAACCTGGATCGAAGGGAACGCATTGTCTTTGACATTTTGGCCAACTACCTGAGTGATGAAAACCTTGCAGATTATGAGCACTTTGTCAAAATGAAATCCGCCCTCATCATCGAGCAGCGAGAGCTAGAGGATAAAATCAAGCTTGGTGAAGAGCAGCTCAAGTGTCTGACTGATAGCCTCCAGCCTGAAAGGCCTAAATGACACAGACCATGGTAATTTGGGTGGCATTCCAGGTATGCGGCATCTGTGACCACTAGGGGGAGGCATTGAAAAGAAAATATCATAATAGCAATAATGTCAGAGGGTTTGTTTCTGTGTTGGCTGTATTTGCATTTCTGGAATCACATTTGGTCTTCTCTGGCTTTTTCTATCATACAGTCTTTATAAAATTCTGCAGCTCTTCAATTCCATGCTTCAGGTTCAGTGCATTGTAGAATCTGCTACAATTTAGCATAAAAACAGTTCTTAGTTATTGTTTTATTAAGAAACAAATGAATGGTTTCTGTTCTCCTCGGATGCTGTACAGATCATTGCAAACCTCCAAAATAAGCAACATTCAGGACTGTTGAGTTTAGAGAGACTTTTCTTTTAATGTAGCTATATCAAGCAGAGAACACAACTTTCTGCCTGTTGTATAACAGTGCATTCAGATTGGTAAAATGTAGGGACATTTTCATTCATGTACATTTGATTATTTTTAAGGTATTTCATAAGAAGTGTCTCTCCAGAAATCATCAAAATCATTTCTACAGGTAACCTCTTAGCCATTTGTCACAGTTAAGTCCAAACACTAAGGCATGGTGTATTTGTGTGGCTGTTATTTTTAGCATCCTGATGAGGGGAAACATTATTACCATTTCATTAAATGCTTCCCGTGTGGGGAGGGGGTGGCTAGGAGGCAGCAGGGGAGAGTTTTGTTTGTTTTAGCTGTCCTGTGTATGAAAGTGGTAACTAAGGTCCCAACCACTGGACATGCGCAGGATCTAAACTACGAAATAGGACTGCTGTGCCACACTAGATGCTGCTTGCCAGAGAATCAATGGATAACACTTCAGATTATTAGCAGACCATGCTGCCCATCTTCCTTCCCCACCCTCATTTTCACAGAGCCCATTATTTCATGCAGCTTGCACACTTGCTGCTTCAGTACTGGTTTTGCCATCTTCCTCTGTCTTCCACAAAAAGCACTATACCATCTTTTGCTTCGTTACTTCACAGTTGCATGCATCTTACATTTACAGTGTGTGAGAGGGAGATGTATTTCAGTTTTGTATACTAACTACTATTCCTTTAAAGGGACTTTGTTTCACACCTCAGGATCATATGGAACATATTTCTAACCGTACCATCCAATAGTGCTCCAGCGTTAGTAAGAAGTCCCATTCAGCTGTCTTATAGAAGATACAGAGGATGCGATAACAAACACTAATGAACTGTTCTGTATGTAGCTAGTGCTGTCTTGTCCACATTTCCATCGGGCAGATGAAAATCCTATGGGCTGTTATATTCACTCCGCACATCACTTTTCAATCCAGCTGCCATAGTCTTTTCTTGCAGAAATGAGATTAGTTCAATTGTTACAGAAAAGTGAGAAATCCATCTCCTGCAACTGTTGCATTGTGACTTGAAAGCGGTCCAAGGTATTTATTGGCCGTGCACAGTCCTGTCATAATCGGCTTCTTGGATTAAATACTTCACAAGCAGCAGACTTCAGTCCTCAGTGGGGCTTTCTCCCCATTGATGAATGTTTATTGATCCACTCTGCCCTCCGCCACTTGCTTACATGAATGGCATTCTTTTACGGTTGTTCTTACCCCAGTTCTGTCTTGATTTGTTCATCTTAGAAGACCCTTGCCACCACCAGATGCGGCTATGTCTCTCTGAACTGATGCTCATTTGGAGAAGGGGGGATTCTTTTACTAGTTTTTAAATATGGCCAAGCTAAAAAAATAAGTGTTTAGATTTCTGTCAGTAAGCTTTTACCTGTGACATTTTTTTTAAAAAAAGAAATGACTGTTTTAATGGTTCTAATGGTGTATGTGGACTCCAAATATAATTTCAATATATCTGTAAACAGTGCTTTGAGTTAAGACCTGTAATTCTTATGAAGATAGCAATATGGGATTGATATATAACTGTATATTATCCTTTTCATAATGTGATAGTAGTCACCACCTTTGGCCTGCCTGCCTCTCTGGCTCTCTCTTTTTAAAAAAAAAATTGATTTGTTGGTTGTTTCACTGGATGGGATCAGCAGATGGATTCCTTCTCTTCCTGTATATAATTATATAAATAGCTCCATTGTTGCTTTGTGAGAGAGAATCTGGTGCTAACCTCTTGCCTTGGGCATCCATAGGTGATGGCTTATTTCTCTATTCGTCTATATGTGACATTTGCAATTTTTAGGCTTTTGTATAGTGAACAATAATTGTCAGATCCCCCCCCCCGTTGTATCTTTGGAATATGCAACCTTGAGGAAAAGCATATATTCACTACTCACTTGTTGCTTAAATACGTTATCTACTGATAAAACTACCTTGCTTGACCAAGGGAAATAAACTGACTATTGTGTTTCAGTGTACCAAATGACTATTCGTTTTCCACATTTCTGTATATCGTGAGCTCTGTAATCTTCCTCTGTACACGGAATAATCTACACTGTTCTTAGAGGGGAAAAAACCATGCCGCTTTGGTGACTTAGGTTTAAACTTTTCCCACTTCAGATACATTTAGAGTCATTATCAAACTCTGCTGCTGTACTAAAGCAAGAAAAGTAAAAAGCCATTTGAGGGTGGAAGTTCTTCTTTCCATATGGAATATGTGGTACTTTGGAACATCTGGTTGGGATGGAATCCAAACCCAGTGTCCCAAAAAAAAAAAAAAGCCTGTCTGGGGTACTTGTTATGATCTAAGCCAACCTATCAGCTATTTCTGCAGTCTTCTGAGTAGGCAAATGCCTGCAATTTATGGGTAAAGAGGCAAAGACAATATTATCCAAGTTATGAGTCCAGTACGTACAAAGTTAAAATAAAATGAAAATAGCTGGTTTTTGCAGCTTCCCCAAGGCTTCTTTTCTGTGAATATCAAGAGGTTGTGCTGCTTTAACAACTGTTTCGTAAATGTATTGTACAAGTAGTACAATGGGGACACGGCCAATTGAGTGACAAAGGCTATACCTTCATGTTTTGTGATTATGTTGTTGTTCTTATAACCTAGAATGTGTGAAGCAAAAATCATGGGATAGAAGGACAAGTCCTTTTATGGATCAAAAACTGGCTAATTAATAGAAAACAGAGAGTGAGTATAAATGGGCAATTTTCTCAGTGGAGGGTGGTAAGCAGTGGGGTACCGCAGGGATCAGTACTTGGTCCACTGCTTTTGAACTTGTTCATTAATGATTTGGAGATGGGAGTAAGCAGTGAAGTGGCTAAATTTGTGGATGATAGGAAATTGTTCAGGGTGGTGAAAACCAGTGAGGATTGTGAGGCACTCCAAAGGGATCTGTCAAGGATAGGCAAGTGGGCGTCAACATGACAAATGGGGTTCAATGTGGCCAAGTGCAAGGTGATGCACATTGGAGCCAAAATCCTAACTATAAATACACATTGATGGGGTCTGAACTGGCAGAGACTGATCAAGAGAGAGATCTTGGAGTTGTAGTAGATAACTCACTGAAAATGTTGAGACAGTATGTGACTGCAATAAAGAAGGCCAATGCTATGCTGGGGATTATTAGGAAGGGTATTGAAAACAAATCATAATGCCCCAATATAAATCAATGGTGCAACCTCATTTGGAATACTGTGTGCAGTTCTGGTCACCACACCTTAAAAAGGATATTATAGCTTTGGGAAAAGTGCAGAAAAGGGCAACTCGAATGATAAAAGGGTTGGAACACTTTCCCTATGAGGAAAGGTTAAAACGCTTAGGGCTCTTTAGCTTGGAGAAATGACGACTGAGGGGTGACATGATTGAGGTTTATAAGATTATGCATGGGAAAGAACAGGTAGAGAAAGAGGTACTTTTCTCCCTTGCTCACAATACAAGATCTCATGGGCACTCCATGAAATTGCTGAGTGGTCAGGTTAGAACGGATAAAAGGAAGTCCTTCTTCACCCAAAGAGTGATTAACACATGGAATTCACTGCCACAGGAAGTGGTAGTGGCTACAAGCATGGACGGCTTGAAAAGGGAATTAGATAAGCATATGGAGCAGAGGTCCATCAGTGGCTATTAGCCACAAGGTATAGATAGGGGCTCTGGGGCAAGTGCTGCTCTGTCTTCTTGGTGCTTGGGGGGGGGGTCAACAGTAGGAGGGCTTCTAATGTCCTGGCCCCACTGCTGGACCTCCTGATGGCACTGGTATTTCTGGCCACTGTGTGACACAGAGTGTGTGACTGGATGGGCCTTTGGCCTGATCCAACATTGGCGTCTCTTATGTTCTTAAGCAGCCTTCAGATAGAACACTACCTCCCATAAATCCTGTCCTTATATATAATCCTGTTTTCGTGTGGCAAAGTTCTATGCGCACCAAAATCATGTGGCTGCATGAACTGCCCCTCAGAAGCTCTCCCTAGCCACTGGCTGCGTTGGGTTACTCCTGCCCACAAAAGCGGCGCCCAGTGTCTCGGCCTTAGTGTGGTGGGAGGTGACGGTGGATGGTAAGGAGGCCGAGGCCGACCCCTTTCTCACAGACTTCCTCACTCAGTGGGTGAGGCTGGGCCAGGAGGCGCCGGCAGCAGCAGGTTGCTCAGGCCGCGGGGTTGACAAGGACTTGCTCCCCTGGCCTTCCCTCAGTGGAAAAGCCAGAGCCACGGCCACCACTCCCTCCCCGCCTTCACACCGCTGCTGGTGCTGGTGATGGGCTCGAAGGGGAATGGTCAGCCTTCCGGCCGCCACTAGGTTAATAGCACTCCCTGAGGGAGGGCAGCAGGTGGCCTAGAGCAGCCTCGGTGCTCCAAGGGGACCAGCTCGCAGTGCTTTCCCGCCATGCCCTAGATGAGGAAGCCGCCTCGGTCCCCTTCCTCAAAGACTTCCTCACTCAGCAGGTGAGGCCGGGCCAGGAGGCGGTGGCAGCGGCAGCTTGCTCGGGCCATGGGGCCATCAAGGATTAACTTGCTCGCCTGGCCTTCCCTCAACAGAAGACCAGACCTGTGACGGCCACTCCCTCCCTGCCTTTGCACCACTGCTGCTGCTGCTGAGAATGGGATTGAGGGGAAATGGTCAGCGTTCCAGGGCGCTGCTGGGTTAATAGCCCACAGGTCCTGGGTGAAGATTACCCGTCCCTGAGCGAGGGCAGCAGGTTGCTGAGAATGGCCTCGGGGCTCCAAGGGAGGTGGCCTGCAGCTGTTTCCCGCCAAGCCCTAGATGAGTAAGCTGCTTTGGTCCCCTTCCTCACAGACTTACTCAGCAAGTAAGGCCGGGCCAGGAGGCGGCTTGCTTGGCCCGCAGGACCGAGAAGGACTCCCTTGCTCACTCACCTGGCCTTCCCTCAGCGGAAGAGGCAAAGCCGCGGCCACCACTCCATCCTGGCTGCGCACCGCTGCTGCTGGGGATGGGCTCAAACGGGAGGGGTTTGTGCTGGGGCCTGGCCTCTGGCCTC